GTGTTTCAAGTGTTTGACATTGATGTTGTTGTGTTGGTGCTCTTACTCATTTTCTTCTCTATATGCTCGCTTTCGTGTGTTCTCAGTGCTTTCGTTTTTTTTTTCATCTCTTAGTCATTTGATAGTTGGACATATACACAAGAACAAATACAATGATGATGATGATGATGATACAAAAAGAAAAAAAAGAAAGGTTTTCTTTTTTTTTTTTTTTTACTTCAATCGAAATTTGATTCTTTATAAATATTGAAATGACAACAAACTACATGATCATGTATGTGTGATGTGTATGCCTTTAGCGTTTCATTTACGATTGTTGTTATTGGAACAAAATAATTTTATTGATTGTTTTTTTTTTTTTTTTTTTTTTTTTTATTTTTTTGATTAAAATAAATTATTACTTTTAGGTTTGATTCCACTTCATCTTGCTGGAGCATATTCAGCAGCATTACCAACTACTTATGGGTGAGTACATTTCGATTTATTTTTCTTTTTATGTATAGAATAAATCTTTCTTTCTTCTATAAAGAAATTAAATTAAGCTTAAATTTTAAAGAAAAAAACAGTACAGTAAATTCCCTTGAGCAATCAAATAAATTTGATAAAAGCTTTCATTCTATATATATATATATACAATGATGACATGTTTAGATAAACAAATCTATTCTTGAATATTTGCACATCTGGATACATCTTCTTTTATTTATTTATTTTGTTTTTTTAAATTTCAAGTATTCAACCAATCTATTATCAACAACAACCAACAACAACATTATTAGCTACAACTACAAATCCACAAACTCTTAGTACATTAATACCAAATCAAACAATAACAACAACATTAAATGGTAGTATTCATGGAACACAAAATCAATCAACAGGTACACCATCTTATTATGAATTAACTTATGCTACAACACCAACTATTGATCAATCATCATATATATATGCAGCAGCAGCAGCAGCAGCAGCTTCTGGACAAACATTTTCATATGCACAATTATCAACAGCAACAAATCAACAACAAACAGGTTCAACAAATATAAATGATATATATGCTAATCATACAGGAAAATATATAATTGATGATCATAATGGATCAGGTGATCGTGATCATCATCAACGTACATCAGCTGGATGGTGATGATGAAAAGAAAACTGTACAGAGAAATTAACTTCATTTTATTTGTTTCTTTTCTTCATTTAAGAAAGTTAGCAAGCATATTCTACTGTACAGTTAATTAATTATTTCTGTTCGTTAATAATAAATTAAGAAATAAAATTGTTTCAGTTTAATATATATATATATATATTTTAATTAAAAATGTTTATTTCAAATAATTTTATAATGTTTAATGATTATTTATATGTCAAGATTTATTTGACATATATAATGTATTGATCAAAAGTCACTATCCTATTGTATAAACAATTTTCAATATTTAATCTAGTAAATAACAAATGAGCCAAATCAAAATTATAACAAAAAAAAAAAAGATGAACATCAATATATTCATTTCGTTTGAATTCAGCTGTCTGTTTTTTTTTTTTTTTGTTGTCTAGAATATTTTACATTGTTTATGGTTCATTCTCTTTAATGATATTAGAAAAAAAAGTTGTTAATTACTATGTGTAGTAAAATAAATAATCAAGACTAAATGAGTGTACAATACTCGTTGATATTACGTAATTCGAATAAGAAGATTATATGATAGAATTTTCTATTATTTATTGTTCTTATCTATTGTATATCAGGTCATGTTTGATTGAGATCGGATTACGAAAAAAAAAAGAAATTTTTCGATTTCAAGATAAATCTGCAGTTTGAACATTTTGCTGATAGAAAAAAATTTTTGAATCTTTAGTTGTTTTTTTTTTTTCAATTTTATTTAAAAGTTCTGTAAGAGACGATACAAAAATCTTAATAGAATAAGAAATCATATATCGTACCATCTTTTATTCTATTTTCATTGAATGTTCTTTATTGAGATATCGAACAATAATCTATAGCGAATGTATTCTATCTGGTCGATGGTGATATAAACGTCTTTGATTATGTGCATAAGAAAAGAAAGATAAACAAGAAAAAATTCTATCATATAATTGTATTGTCTCAACTGCGGAATATCTGCAAAGTATCAAGGACATATCTCTTTTGTTTCCAACAACACAAAATCAAAGTAAGAAGAAAAACAAAAAAAGAATTGACAAATTAATTTTCACAAGAGAAAGAGAAAACTAACGGATATTAGAGTTCGATGTGGTTCATAAAAATTTGTTACATGTCGAACACGATAAAATATTGATGTTTTGTTTTTTCAAAATATGCATCATTGAATGTTTTAATCGGATTTCAGAACCAAATCTTTATAGCTATTTTTCTGAATAATCAAATTAATGTTAGATAAAAGTGAATCGTCCTAAGTATTGTAAAAAAAAATCTGAAAAGATTACTTACTCCATGAGTTATTCTTTACAAGATATTTAACGTATTTTCCACATTTTAGTTGAAGAGCTTAGTACTTTTTTTAATATTTCTTTCAATAGACAAGAAAGTTTAAATCAAATGATTTGTACATTTTAGTTCAGTGTTTTATAGACAATATTTTTCAGAGTAACACAACACAAAACGTTTGATTTCTTAGAAAATCACATGTGTTCAATGTTATCAGTCTGTTAAAATTTCAAAAATATTTATAAGGATTTGGTCTTGTGATGAAGATAGAACATAAAATAGCGCATCGTTTGAGAAACAAAATCAATATGTTATCGCATTCCAGAACAGAATTACATGTAAAACAAAAAAATGTCGTAAAACTTTATCTCTATCCGGTATATAATAAAACTTCTCTATTATGGACGTTGGCCGATCCTTTTGAAATAAATTTTTTATTGATGGTTTCGTCTCATTTGCAAATATAAAATCGAAATTCATAGAAAAACTTTCATTCAATTTCATTGATTTTTGTAAATTTAAACTATTCAAATAAAAAATAATTTCAAGTTTTTGAAATTTTTGTTTTCTAAAAATTAAGATTTTTATTTTTGGCAAATTGCTAATTTAAATAAAAGTTTAGCAGTGACAACCGGAGCAATTTATCTATAGATGATGATGAATAATCTAATGAAGTATGTATTATCGTAATGAAAAAACAAGTATTCATCAGTATGATGTTTGATGCTAACACTACTTTTCATTTCAGCATCATCAGCAACAAGCAAACGTATAGTTAGCAAAAATGATCGGATTTCAGAAGCTGATAAGTCACTTGCTTTTGCGACGATCTTCTTTTCATATTAAATAAAAGTTTGAAAATCCTACTGTGATCGTTTAAGTATTTGCCAGATGTTGGCAAGCTTTGATCCAAGTCAGGATGGGATCAAAAATGATTTCAATCAAGACTGAGAACTCTTTTTCGCGTTTTCCACAAAATTATATTTCAAATATATCACACTACAACAAGCATGTCAATAAATAAGCACTGAAAGTTTCAAAACAGAAAAGAGAAGTATATATATGAAAATCGTAACAACTGTTCATTTTTTGTAATGTATATGGTCTTTACGTAGGAAACTACAAAACAATTCTTGCGGGATCATAATCAGAACTAAAAATAAGTAGTTTCTCAATTTCCTAGATTGATGCAGGACACTACTATATGCATGTCATAAGGTTATTCTTCTCGGACTTGAACACATCGTCTCATTGTTATTGTAACATAAAATGAAATATCGAATGGACACAACCTAATCAACGTGTAAGAGCATTAATATATCAAAATCAAATATATAGAAAACAATGTTCAATTATAGACGTCTTTCAATATACTTGTATGAGTGAGTGTTTTTGCCTTCATGCACACGAGTGAAGAATATAGTCATTGTAATTTGAGAAACAAATCGATACAAATAAATTCAACAATACGAAAAAAGTAAGTTTTTTATTTGACACAATAACATTGGATATGTATGAAAATAATATTTTCGCAACACTATCCTGTATCGCTTATTTTGATGAAATTCATTAGACACTTCTACTCTGATAAAAGGTACGAAAATGATGATATTATTCAACAACGTTCGATACAGAAGCAATTTCTCTATGATATTTTTAAATATCAATCAATATTTGCGTATAATTTATCTAGACAATGTCACTCCACATGATATTAGTAAAACTAAATTGCCTTTCGAATGGAGAAATATTCTCACTTGACTTTTTTTTTGAGATCACTCTATTTACAAGAGCTGAAAAAAAGGTTCAATTATCATTGAGCTATATCAATTACAAAATTTAAAGAAATTGCACTACATAAAGTATGAAATTTTTTGTATTAACAAGTTTTATAAAACAAAATCTCTTTTCCTTATCAAATTGTTATCCATATCTCTCTATTTGTATTTGATATTGAACTAATTTGTTTAAATAAAATTATTTTAAACGAAATATCAATGATTTTAATGTCACCCTACATAAAATTAAACAATTTCGCTTAATGTGTATATTATCAATAATTTTTCATTTAGAAAACTTTGTTTAATACGAAAAATAAAATAGAGATTCTGAAAATTTCTAACAAATTTAATAACTCTTGTAGAGAAAAAAAATTTTAAATAATAATCACAATGAAATGCAAAAAAAAAACTTGCTTTTCTCTCGACAGGTGACGTTAGTAGGTAAATATTTCACACTATTACTTAGCTTTCTCAACAACTAAAGCAGATAGAAATTTGATATTTTTTCAGAAGTAAATATCCATCTTTCGATCAGTAAAATAGAGAAAAAATATATATTATCAAAATCGATTGAGTAGAACTATCGACTTATAGATATGATTATTGGCGGTATCTAATAGTACAGTCATTTTACTATTGATTCATATATATATAAGAGTAACGTCATTTAATTAAGAAAAAAAAATATGATACATTTTTCATTGAAGCATGACGATCGATAAACACTCTTACTAACTACAAACCTATCAGTACAACAAGAAGACATGGGTGGAAAGGCAGCTTCTAAAATAATTGGTACACCATCATTTGATCATATGAAATCGCAGAAAGTATCAATAGGTAATCGTAAAAAAAATCTTCCAATATATTCAAGCTATAAACTTAATTCAATGGAACAAACAATTCCTAAAACAAATAAAAAAGTTCTACAATTTGTTGAAAATGTTATATTAGTATGGCTTGATTCTTCATTAGAAAAACAAACTGAATCAAATAAAAGTTTAATAAATCAATTTTATCGTGTTACGGGTATTGTTAAAACATTTTCTAATGTAAATGAATGTTTTAATTTTATTAATTCAATTGAATATGAAAAAATTTTTTTAATTGTATCTGGATCACTTGGTAAACAAATATCACCACTTATAGAAAATTTAGATCAACTTTATTCAACATATATTTTTTGTGGAAATCAAGCAAGTCATGAAGAATGGTCAAAACAATATAAAAAAATTAAAAGTATTCATACAAAAATCAAAGAACTTTGTGATGCAGTTAAAAAAGATATTCGTCATTATGATAGAAGTATAACACCAATAAGTATTCTTCCATTATCATCAATAATAGAATTAAATGATTCAAATAAGGATTTTATTAATTTACAAATGGTAAAAAGTATTCTTATAAGTATAGAATATGATAAAAAATATCGACGAGAATTTATTAATTATGCTCGACAATTTTATTTAAATAATGAACAACAATTAAATCTTATTGATAAACTTGATGACAATTATAGTCTACATACACCTATATGGTGGTATACAAGAAAATGTTGTTTATATTCAATGTTAAGAAAAGCATTTTATTATCAAAATTTTGAAGTTATTTATAAATTAGCATTTTTTATTCGAGATCTTCATAAAGATATTAAAAAATCTCATTTACAAGCACATAGTCATCAACATCGTGCAATAATTGTTTATCGAGCAACATCTATGACAAATAATGAATTAGAACATATCCAAAACAGTAAAGGTTGTCTATTATCATTTAATGATTTTCTATCAACTACTCTTGAACGAAATATAGCATTAAGATTTGTTAATTTACTTCGTAATGATACAAATTCAATTGGTATAATATATAAAATTGTAGTTGATCCTGTATCAACAACAATTCCATATATTGCTTTAAATAATTTAAGTTATTTATCCGGTAATGATGGTGATATTTTATTATCAATGAATACAATATTTCGTGTTGGTCAAATTGAACAAATGAGTGAACGTCTATATGAAATAAATTTATTTCCAGCTAGCAAAAAAGATGAAGAAATAAAAAGTCTTATTGAGTATATACAAGATTCACTAGAAGGTCCATCTATATGGTATAAATTATGTAAAGTAATGGTAGATCTAAACGAATATGATCTAGCAGAACATATTTATAAAACTATATCGACTGAAAAAGAAGATCATGAACGCGAAGAACGCGCTTATATTCAACATGAACTTGGTTATGTATGTGAATTAAAAAATGATTTATCTTCAGCTGCAAATTATTATAAAAAAGCTATCGAAATTTATTTAACTTATTTACCAGAAAATCATCCAACAATATTACCAACATATATTAATTATGCTTCTGTTCTTGAAAAAAAAGGAGATTTAACTGGAGCATTAAATCAATATCTTAGTGCTTCTAAAATTGATAAAACTGGTGATTCAAATGTAATTGCACAATATAATAATATAGGTAGAATATTTCAACAACAAAAAAAATATCAAGAAGCAGAAAAAACTTATGAAAAAGCTATTGAAATATTATTAAAAGATTTTTCATCTAATCATCCTGTTTTAGCAGATACATATTATAATTTGGCTGGAATGTATTATACAATGAAAAATTATTCAAAAGCTTTATCATACTATGAACAAACATGTGATATTGAAGAAAAATCATTTATAGTATATCATCCAACATTATCATCAACTTATTTTAATCTAGCAACAACATTTGAAGCTCTTAATGATGAACAAAATGCGATTAAATATGCTACAAAAGCAGCTGAAACAGCTCGTTTTACTTTTGGCAATGATCATACAGAAACAAAAGAAAATGTTAATTATCTTGAACAACTTCAAGAAAACAGTAAAACTGTAAAATTATAATTTTATTATAGAACGAACAATAATAAATTTTTTTGTGATCTATTTTTTTTTTATTTTTGTTTCTTATTTTTATTCAAGATAAAATAACATAAAGTGTCGTCGAAAATTCAAAATATGAGAAAACAAAACATTTTTATCATGATTGAATTGAATTCATTGAGTTACATATGAAAATATTGTTAATAATATTTTCAAACAATAATTTTGTAATAGTCTCAATATTTATCAAAAATATTTCTTTTAATTTTATTTCTCATATAGTTAGAAAAACAAAACTATGTAACATATTATTGAGAAAATATATATTGAATAGTATACTCAATACTAATGTTCGTCAAATTTTGACTGTAGAAAATGCACAGGCCCAAAGTATGATGTAGAGAACTGTAGTTTAACATTTTTTGTAAACCTGATCGGATTCAGATTCGAGGTTTTGCCAATAATATTTAGTATCCTCGTTGTATATGAACACGTTTTTTAGCTATTTATTAGTTACTCTTTGAAAACAAATGAACGTATAGCTATTTCTTGTTGTATACTTTTTCATTATTCAATACTTAAAAATAAAGTTTTCGCTTAGTTGAAAAGAGTTATAATGTTAATCAAAAAGAAATTTGAACAATTAATTGATAAATAAAATGTAAGAATATGTTCTATGTACTCAATATGAAGATTTATTTTTTGTATCTTTCAAAAAAATGAATCAGTTATTTTCAAATCAAGTTAGGCGAGAAATAAAAATTACTTGTATTGAATATGCAACATTTGACTATTGTTCATTCAAAACAATTAATAATTTCAATTTTAAAAGTCCTACACAATAGATTCTTACTGTTGATCAATACTTAACTATAAGAAGCTACGGATCCACGTTTTTTTTTAGTGAACCAGATCTCGAAGGATTTACAGTTTTCTAATAAGGGAATTTAAGAATTAAAATTAGTTTTGAATGTGATATTTGTTTCTTTTGGACATCAAATTCTGATGGTGAACATCATGTGTATGAATTTTTTGGTTCTCCTATTGAAAAAACATCGACGATTTTCTTAATAATATTTTTCAAAAATCATGCATAGGTTTTTTTTTCCTATCTATATGATGAGTAAAGTGAAAGAAAATATTTAGATAAATATTAAGATTACCAAAACTTGATGCTTTCAATATATGTTAAATTTTTATAGAATTTTCTGTTTTTTAGATCTAAGTTTTGCTACAAAATCAAGTTGATTCATTTAAGTAAATATTAAGACTTTGATCATGAATGAGAGTGTATTAATAGAAAGTACCAAAAGAAAAGATGTTTATAGATTAATCATCTTGTCTTCGATATGTCAACTGGTACTATAAATTATGTCATTGATAATAAGAGTGAAGATGCGACATTTACTATTATATTGATAGTAAATGGTTAAATATATTTCCTAGCAAAACTACATAAATGCTGTGCTTCGCACCGCATTAATAATTATAAGTACTAGAGTTTAAAAAATATTGAGTTAACTTGACCTACACTAATAATATATTTCTATGACAATTAAATGGAATATCTATTCAGTTTTTTTTTCTCTATTACTTCTTCAGATTCTTATTATTTAGTTCTATTTTTATACATTAAGTATATGCCCTATTATTCAAAACAACATGAAGAGTCTCAATGATAAACATGTGTAATTAGCAAAGAAAACTATAAATATCTTAATAATACTTGTATGACGGTAGCAAAAAAAAAAATTTCTATCTTCATCTTACTATGTTGATGATTTCATCTCTTTGTTGATATAAGAAATAATGAAATAGAAACAATTCTATATAGAGAAATCAATTGATTTCATAATCTTTTAAGTCAACAAAGAATTAAGTAATGTAAAAAACAAAAATGTCAGAATAGTAAGAAAAAAACGACAAGTTTTTGTTACATTCACACAAGAATTCATAAGATATATTTATAATTTTCTTAGCTTAATTGCACATGTTTATTGTTAAAACCCTCTATGGAGTCTAAGTAACATGGTGTGCTTCTGACCTATATAGAACTCATAAGAATCTGAAGATATCATTGAAAAAAATATAGAATATTCTGTTTATATTGTACATCGATAGTTGTCCATTAGATATCTTCGAAGATAATATTAATTCTTCCAGATGTCTTTGAATTAATTATGATATATTTATAGATCGTAAGAATCAACAAAAAAATCATTTTTTATCATTAGTAAATAAAATTTCTTTTTTGAAAGTAAAGTATATCAATAATTTTGCTTCTTATTTAATTAGAATAAGATAAATGTATAATATTAAAAATTAATAATGACAATATTTATATTTCATGTTTGACTCAATCAACTTTCATTGTAGATATTACTACGTATGAGAGAATCTTTTCAGCTGCTATTCTTCCGATTTTAATGACGTCATAAGTCTATTGACAGTACACAGTGTACTAATAAAAGCTGCAAGAAGATTTTGATTTCTATTCATATTTGACTAAGCAATCGATTTTTTAATGTATCTCTTTTCTAAAAATTTCTTTGAAAATATGACTCTCTCAAAGAAGTTTCGAGAAAATCGACACATTAAAAATTCAATAATTTAATCAAATATCAATAAAGTCTGAAAATGTTATTAGCAAACTATGTATTATCTATAGAATCATTAAAATTGGCAAGACGCAGCTGAAGAGATTCTCATTTGCATTGTAAAAACTTTCTCTAACATGTTTTATATTTGTCTAATGAAAAAGGAGAACATTCAAGGTTTTTATGAAATAAACAACTCTCTAGAAATTTGTACATAGACAAAAAACAAAATATTATTTGAATATTTTCACAAATTTAAAGGTAAGATTAAATATTATCATATAATTTTTTTTTTCTTAAGAAATTAAAACTAAAATTTTTTGATATTAATCAATAATTTTTATAATGAAATACAAATAATAATATTATTTCTTGTTCAATCATTAGGATAAAAACTAGTAATAGATAGTAAACATTATTTCAAAAGAATTTTCTAAGTAGAATTTTAATCCTAAATAAAATTAAAAACAAAAAAAAAAAAAAATTTTTTGATTTGATATATTCATTAGATTTCTCTTTGTTTTTGTTTTTGTTTTTTTTCTTTTCTATACATTAATATTAATTACAAATAAGAAACAAACATTCTCAACAATTATCATGATTCATGATTGTATGATCATCGTATTTGATTGGCTCGAATTACTCCTTTTCTCTTCGTCGTTAACCTCTATTTCGTTGTTATTTTAACTGTCAAATCATAAAACAGAAAAGAAATGCATTAATATGTCATATATTATACAAACGAATAGCAATTTGATCACAAGAGAAAATAGTTAAGTCATCAACTAACGAAACTATACTGTTACGACAGTTTTTTTTTTTATGTTTATTTATTATTAGTCATCGAAAGTGTAAACTCCTACGGTGTGAAGTTGATTTTCAACAATAATAAGTTTTTTTTTTCTTCTTTCAAGATTATTTCTTATAACTGTTTTCGTTTGTTTTTTTTATTCAAACGATGCAGATATATATTAAAAAACCTTCTATATACAACAAATCAATAACCATATAATTCTCTTTATATCTTTGTTTTCTTTTTACATACAAGTATTCTTAAAAAAATGCCAAAAGCAGCGACAAATTCAAATGCTGCTCCATGTAAATATGCTTTTTTTTAATTTTTTTTTCGAATGATAGAAAACAAAAGAAAAACAAAAAAAAAGTATACATTATATATATATATATTTTTGATCATTTATCTATAGCTCTTGCACGTACTATTCAAGCAAAAAAACGTCGACCTAAAAATGCTGGAAAGCCACGTCCTCCTCGTGATTTAATTCAAAAAAAGATGTAAGTTAATTTATTATGTTTGACAAGCAAATATTCCCAAGTGATCCACTTCATTTCTATACATATTTTACAAAATCATTAGAATAACATGATTCCCCAAGGCTTTCTACTCAGACTTAAAAATTCATCTAAAAATTTGCATACATAAAGTTTTTTGATGCAAAATTTCAAATCGAAATATTATTTTAATTACATCTAACGAGAAAACATTCCCAACTGTCATATTGCTTTTGAGTCAAGCATATGCGTATCATGTAGGCTCTAATGATCTATGAATGTTCGTGCTGCTAGCTTATTAATACCGAGATATTGCATTTTTACTGTATGTTTAAGCAGAAAGTCGTGGTCCCCTCAGAAACACTAGAAAAACTGAGTTTCGAATTTCAACTTGAAACTTTGCATAGAGATAGGCCTCAATGATAATAGTTTATTCTGAAAGTTTCAGATCTTTTCATTGTTCCTATCCTAAGATACAGCTATAGTAAAATCGCTGATATACACCAGCAGATTCCAATATTCTTATTTCAGACTAGGAGCAATCAAAAGATCTGAAACTTTCACAATAAACTATTCTCATTGAGGCCTATCTCTGTACAAAGTTTCAAGTTGAAATTCGAAACTCAGTTTTCCTAGTGTTCCTTTTGAGGGGGACTACGGCTTTCTGCTTAAACATACAGTAAACATGCAATATCTCGGTAGTAATAAACTAGTAGCACGAACTTTTTTCAGAGTATTCATAGATCATTAGGGCCTACATGATGTGCATATGCTCGACTCAAAAACGATGTGACAGTTGGGAATATTCCCATGTAAGTATAAACAGAAAAACTATGTTGGTGACAGTACTCGACTAATCTCTGACATGTTGAACAATATGAGAACAAATAGAGAGAGGATTACTTGGGAATGCATCTTCGTTAGTTAAACAGAACGAAAAAAAGAAAATTAAGAACGCCAACAATCTTTCTTAATAATCATATGATTATTCATTCGACAAATAAAAAAAATAACAATCATCATTATTATTTTCTATCAAAATATAAATGAATAACTATGAATCATTATAAGAGAAGATAACAGCTATAGATATGTTTACATAGTAATATTTGATGTATTTTATTCAAATCTATC